CATGTATTTGTAAACAGTATAAAAACTGAAGGTGGGAAAAAAACACCTACTGCATGCCAAATGCAATGGCCATTTCCCCATACTCAATGCTCTTACTCAACTCTCAGCAGCAGTCCACAGTCACCACTGACTTCCCTTTTGTCTTCCGGAACACGGCACTCTCCGTTTTCCTCCCCGTCCCTGGCTGCACCTTCTTGGTCTCATTGCTGAATTGTTTCAGATCTTCCCAGAGAGTCCTCCAGGGCACAGTCTTCAGACTCTCCACATTACTAATTTCTTAAGTCCCATTGTTTTAAATACTATTTAAGTGCTAATAGCATCCAAATCTACACGGCAGACCAATGTCTACCCAGAACTCCAGGGGCAGTCACCCCACACCACCACGTGAGTGTCCGATGGCCCTTCCACTTCCCATGTCATAACAGCAGACCTGATTTCCCACCACACACAAACTGTGTCTCTCCCCCAGGTTTCCCCATTTCAACGTATGGCACCAGCATTGCCCTAAATCCTAACACTTCTTGCCAGTACTAAAATAATAATTTCCCCCTAAGTGATCTCCCTGCTTCCTTCTTGCTAAAGAACAGTCAGAAAAATTCTCTCAAATTAGAAACCAAATCATGACACAGCCCTGTGACAACCTTCAAATGGCTCCATCATTGAAACAAAAGCACCTCTCATGCCACATGCAGCCCTGCGGGATCTGATTCTGCTGCTTCCGACCTCACCCGTCTTTCTTTTTCTCCATCTACTCCCAGTCACTCTTGTCTTCTTACTGTCTCTTGATTTCTTGAAGCTTGTCACTGCTTCAGATTCTTTGCATCTGCTGTGTCTTTTACTTGGAATAATCTTCCCTCCGATATTCACAGGGACCGCTCCCCGGCTTTGCTCAGTGAATACAGAGACATCACCTCCACAGAGAGGCCTCCTTTCAGCACTCCACGGAAAACACTACTTCATCTCCACCTACTTTGCTCCATTCTCTCAGTAATATTTTCTATTTTGTAATATGTTCTGTGTATTCGCTCACTGTCACATCCACTAGAAATATAAGCTCCTTCAGGGCCTGAACCTTGACTTGATTGCTTCTCTATAACTCCTACCTAAAATGGTATCTAGCACAAATTAGGTGTGTTCAGTAACAACTGTGAAATTAATAAATGACTATTATATTTCTAACAAAGATTTTTCTCTAGTGTATAAACTTGAATGGACTATGATAAGATTAGCAAAACTATATTTAATTTAGACTTCCATTTAAAGTGGCATCATTCTTAAAAAGGAAACTCTCATAAAAATAGGTAAAAAAAATATGTAAATATTCTAAGTCTGAAAAGGTATACAGGGAAAGATCTCCCTATCCCATGCATACCTCTTTCAAACAGCCAGCTCAAGCTCTCATTACCAAAAGGTAACCATTAGTAATACCATAAAGTAAGGTTTGGCAATTTTTTTCTGTGAACAGCCAGACAGTAAATATTTGCAACTTGGTGGCCTATGCACTGTGTCACAACTACTCAACGCAACCATTACAGAGTGACAGCAGCCTGCAATAATATGTATTTGTATGCATATGGTTGTGTTTCAATAAAACTTTATTTGCAAATGTAAGTGGTAAGCTCAATTATTTCCATAAGGGGGTAAATATTACAGAGCTAAGTTTAAATAAAATGTCTGTTCATAGAAAGTTTTAATAATAGTGTTTAGAAAGGACTACAGTGAAAGAGGCTGCAACAAAGAATGCTATTTGTAACAAAAACTCATCCTACTACCTAAAATAATGTGTTAATATATTTTCATACAAATAAGACATTATTACAGGACACCTTCTCCATAATCCATGATGTGTTACTCCAGATATTTTCTTCTACTTTTTCATGGCATAATTAAGAAGGACTGGAAGAACATTAAGACAAGACAAACTGCCATTTCTAAAGGACAGCACTGAAAGAATACATATAAATAAATGTAAAAAGACAAGACAGACTGGTAATCTAACTAGCAGCACACTGCCAATCATTAAACTCTGGCCTAAAATATTCTCTTAAATGACAGTAGATTGAACAGACAGTTAAAATCTTCATAGAATACATTAAAGAAGTAAACCAGAGCCTATATTTTTAAAAAAACAGACTTTCAAATGTATATCTCTCAATTGTATTAATTTCAAAATTTATGTTCCTAATGTGTCTTATAAAGGATTTAATTTACTAAAAGCAATCAAGGTCAGAGAGAATCAGATCTCTCTGAAAAGTAGATCACTGTTAAAGAATTAGCTTCTCAAAATTTAAATGTATTCTAGGAATATACCTTACCTTAGATGTCATTCTCATAAAAAGGTTGTTTTGATTTTCTGCTGTTCCCATCTTTTCATTTCTGACTAAATCATTTAGGCTCAGATTATCATCATCATGAAAGTATCTGACCCTTTCTTTTTCCTCATGGGTTGAAACCTAAGACAAAATGAACGGTATTAATTTAGTGAAAACATGGGTCTCTGAAGTATTCATTACCAGCTTAGCTATAAATCTGATATTAAATGCAAAACTCCCACTGTGTACCCAACCTTTCCTTTTAGTTTATCCCATTCTACCTGCTTCTATGTGAAAGAAGTCCCATGATATCAATACTTCCTACTTCTGCCCCTTTACTCTCCATTTCCCCAGGATGATAGCTTGACATTATCTGATTCCTGAGTTTTGATTAAAGATCAAAACTACTCTATCCTTTCTTCTCTCTTCTCTGCTCTTCTCTTCCTTATAGTTAAAATTCCTTACCTCTTTTGGGGGAAGTCTACAGTTACCTAAAGATGGAATAAGAATATCAAAAACAGAGGTAAAGTATGAAAAAATCCAGTGCTATGAACTTAATGTTTGCATCACCCCAGAATTCCTATGTTGAAATCCCAGTGTGAAATCATTAGGAGTGAGGTCTTTGAGGTCATGAGCGTGATGCTCTCATGGATGCAACTGGTAACCATATTAAAAAACACGTCAGTTTGTTTTTTCCCTGTCTGTCTCCTTTTCTCTCCCTCTATTTCTTTCTTTCCCCTCTCTGCCACGTGAGGGCATAAGAAAAAGACCACAAATCAGAAAGTACAGCCTCACTAGACAGTGACCCTGCCAGCACGCTGATACTGGACTCCTAGTCTCGGGACTGTAAGAAATAAATCTCTGTTGTTGACGCCTCCCAGTCTATGCTATGCTGCTGTAAATCCCTAACTAAGTCAGCACTTCTAATTATTAAACTCTTGTCCTACAAACAGCTTTATCAACAACAGCTGATATTCTGATCCCATCTAATTCAGTCCTGGGCATTCCCGTTAGTTATCGAAAAGAAAAGTGCCATTCATTTCCTCACTGATCAAATTTCCCCAATGCTTCTCTCATATTTCCAACCAAACAAAACCTGGTCTTCAACACCTCTGAGATCTTTGGAACCAGATTCCCACTATTTTTCCCAACATTATTATTTGTTCTTTCACTGGCTTAAACTTCGTGTTCCGTGATTTCAATCACGCCCTGGTTCCAGACACTTAATTTCCAGCTCTCTTATCCTTTCATTATATTCAAAGAGCAAACACTAACCCTGAATAAATGTGTCTGCCTCTTTGCTCCTGTGTCTAGATGGCTCATCAGGTGCAGCACGTAAGTCCAAGAAGGCCCCCGATGCCTTCTAACAACGTGTTCACCGACCCCCGTTCAGTCCTATCATTTCAGATAATTCATACCTTCACTATTCTCCGACCACATCTCCTCTCTAATCCCAATTCTTCTCACTACATATCCACCCACTTCTACTTGTTGGTGAATTAAATATTATCTCTAGCACCACAGGCACTCAGCAGGAAGTAATAAACACTTGACAGAAAAACTCCGAATGAACAATTCTTTTGTGTACCCCAAAGAAAAAACCTAACTTGGGAAAACTGAGTACACGTTTTTGTCATCTCAAGAGCCTCAAGATAGTGCTAAAAACTAATTGCTAGAGTTGGAAGATGGAAAAGAAAATTAGGTTTCTAAAGGATCACAATACCTACATAAATAAGACACTCTAGTATATGGATAACCCCACCACCGGCTCTCAAACTGGTTGTCTAACACAGGAAAAGGTTGACCAAGATTTTCCCTAAAAGCTATGGAAAGTTTGCAAAAAGAAGTTAAAAACATCAAAGAAATGTGCACAAAATTAAAATTGCCTCTAACTTTCAATGTGCATTTATTTGGGAAAAATGCAGCTGAATTAGATTCCATTTTATAAAATTCAAAGGGCTATAACTAAGAATAAAATTAGTAACACAGCTGGCCAGGCATGGAAGCACATGCCTGTAATCCCAGCACTTTGGAGGCTGAGGCAGGAGGATCCCCTGGAACCCAGGAATTCAAAGTTAAAGTGAGTTCTGATCACTACACTCCAGCCTAGAAGACAGGGTAAGACCCTATCTCAAAAAAAAAAAAAAAATTAGCAACATAATTTGCTACCTTCCAAAGTGTGCAGTAGAATGATACATTTCAGAAAATGTTTTGTAGTCTGATGCATAGAAAGCACCAAGGGAAAAAAGGAATTTTGAATTAATACACAAAGACATATGTTAGACATACCATCTGTCTCTTTCTTCTTCCTCCTCTTGGCTCCAGAGATTTTCCTGGTGTGTTCACAGGCCACACTCCTCCAGACTGATCTGTTCTGACAAGGATCACTTCTTCCTGGTCTTTATTCTATAAAAAGATTCAGAGATAAGTTTTGAAATTACTCTGAAGCATATTTAATAACCAAAAAAAAGATTCAAGTTTTCATGTATTATGGATCATCTTAAGTCTTCTGGATTTTTATTACCTACTAAACCATGAAATGATACATAATCTTTTCAGAAGATGGATGGAGAAAAATACCCAAAGTTTATTCTACTATTTTTTTAAAAAGCAATCACAGAATTTTTT